AGGGGGCCGCCCAGCCTCGGCGGCAGCGGCGGGAAGGCGGTTGGCGCCGGGTCTCCAGAGCTCCTGCGGGATTGCACCTCGGGGCTTCCCCCACCTTCTCCTCCCGGCTCCAGCTGGTGAGCGGGCTCTTGGCCGCTAGGCTTCCCGGGGTCGTGGTCCCCGGTACCGAGCGCATCTAGACGCGGCTGTCTCACCGCTGTCTTTTGGTCGCGCTCCTGTGCCCCGGCGTCCGCATCCTATCACCTCTTCTCGGAGAAACCCGAGTGGGGTCCTCTGGGCGAGGTTCGGATCCGCCAGCTGGCGTCGGCCAGGCCGCGGAGGGCAGCGCCTAGTTCTAAGAACCCTGCTTACAACACACTTATCGAGGACCATGGAGGGAAGGCAAGTAGGAGGCCGTAGGGACCGGCGCAAAGTTAAAAAGTGAGAAGAAAAAGGCAATCTCATTGAAAACTGCAAAGAAGGGGAACTTCCCGCTGAGCAGGATGCAGAAGGATTACATAGCATCACGCCCGTTCGCACGTGGTGTGGTCGGTACACTGCCGGTCCCCGGCGCGCCTAGAACATGCCTGGCACGTAGTAGGCACTGAATAAACGCTCAGGAAATGTGCTCACCACCTACTGTGTGGTAAGCACTTTCCGTGGACTGACACACTTAATCATCAGAAAATCTCACACTTGGCTACTCTCATTAGTCCATTTCGCAAGTGAGTAGTCTGAACCTTGGAGAGTTGATTTGACAGCCAGAAAGTCGTAGAACCAGAATTTGATCCAGAGGCCACTCTAGAGACTGGACTCTGAGCACTGCAGGGACTGAAGCCTCCCTGCTGGACTGGGGGCTCCCTGCAACGCAGAAGTAGGAGGAGACACTGGTGGGTCTTCAGGGGGAGAAATGCTAACATTTGTTTCAGGTCCAGAGCTAGACACCCTTTGAATCATCCCTCAAGTTTCCTCATGAGTCAGACTTTATTATTCACATGTTATAGGTGTCATTAGACCTTACGTCCAGGGTCATGATCACATGGGGGTGCGAGTGTAAACTCAAACCTAGGATTTTTAGATTTCCTCTGTCTTGGAGACTTCCCTTTACCTAAGGAATCCAATTTTCTGCTTCTCGAATTGAAGCCCGTGCAATTTTAGGAAGGAGATGCAGGAAGGCGGATACATGGATCTGGAAGGGTCGAGGTTGGCGTTCTGATTTTAGAGTCATCTACGTGGGAATCACTGAGCTTCTGAAAATGGATAGAAATAGCCCTGCTAACCTGAAAGTAAAAGCTCCTTTCCAAGTGAGGAGCAATAAGCATTTATTTGAGATCAGTGAGAATGGCTATTTGGGATGCACTGATTCAGATCGAAGCCCAGCTAGTGTTCTGATGGGGAGACAGAGCGAAGGGGTATTTATGAGAAAGGGAAGGGGGGCAATTACAATCATGGAAGGAAGGCGTCTCTGTTGGTACAGATAACACAGTGGTGTTAATTCTAAGCAACGTTTTTAACTTTCAGGCCGGTAGTCATAATAACGGCTTCTTGGCATCTTCGCAAACAACTCTTCTGGGTACAGTACCTTTTTAGGCCCAGTCCAAAGGTTATTTTGTCCTGTTTTAACATTCCAAAGATTTGAGGCATGAGATGCACAAGGCAGTCACTCCGGCATGGCAGCTCCGGCTCCACTCGAAAGCGGCTCTGTCTGTATTACTTGGACAGCCCTACAATGTTTGCTGCAGATTCTGAAAGGCAGTTATTCTGAAGGGGCAGGTAGAGCAGCCTCAGAGAGGAGGTGGGGGTATAGGGGACACATGGAGGCTCAGGGACAGGGACACGTTAGGAGCATCGACTCTGGAGCCTGTCTGCCAGGCTGGAATCGCTGGAAAGTTATTTTGCATCTCTGTGACTTAGTTTCCTAAATGAGCATGAAAAATTAATACAGCATGTACTTAGCAGAGTGCCTGGCACAGAGTAGCGTTCAATAGATTGTCTACTATTATTATTGCTGTTTCAAATGACTAACATCGTCACTGTGTAAAAAAATGCCTCTAATGCATTGCAAAACACAAGCTGGTAGAAAATGGATGAAGGTAGGAACGAGAACACAATTCTCAGAGGCACCAGAATGGCCCAAAGCGTGGAAAGCTTCACAGCCACACCGATGCAGAGACCAAGGGCGAAACACAAAAACAGTCGAATAAAGCTGGAGCCCAGCCTGGGAAAAGCGGTCTTGGAGACCTCCCACTAAAGTCACAAAGGACCAAGTGCTCTGGCAATCCAGAGTACCCTGTGAGGACATGAAGCGTCTGCTCCTTTCCTCTGGGGAGGGGAGCAAAGAGCCTAGCCTCCTGGAGTCCACAGTTGTGTGAACAACACTAGGTATGGCAGTGTCGTGAGCATCTTCAAACCAGCCCGCATCCTAGAAGCGGAATTTATGGAGGTCAGAATGTTTAAAGAGAGTAGCAAAAAAGGCAAGGACCTAAATATCTCATGCTGTTACCGCGACAGCTCGATCGCACTTGAGGCTGGTAAGAGCTGGGGAGACAGCACTGCACATTCAGGTGGAAGTGATTTGTGGACTATTTTGTCTTCCGTGTCTCGGAAAATGTTGCTCCCTTGTTGAATTTATACTCTCTTGTTCCGCCTGTTTTTATTACTTACCTTTCCAAAGACAAAAGAAAAGAAAAAAACATGAGCTTCTCATAACGTTCAATTATTCAGTAAGCATGTCTAGTGGGGACATGTACAGCAAATAACTTGGTTTTTTAGGTACAAGAATAATGCATATTTATTTTAAAGGATTCAGATGATGAGAGAAGTGAGTAGAAGAATAAGTAGGCGCCAATCTGATTTCATACCCTCTCGCAAGATCCTACAGTTAACGGTGTTTTATATTTCTATCCAGAACCTTTTACTTAGCGTTTGTATACATGTTAGTGTGTGTGCATGTGTGTGATGTGAGTGTTGTGTATA